TTATTTTTTGAGGGACCGGAAATGAGAATACTCAATCCGTCGCGAATTAGACGAGGGGAAAAAAAAACTTGAAATAATTATTATTACGATATTTCATTCGTTCGTTCATTCGAGCGTAATTAAAATACCAGAAAAGAAGAACAAACAAACAAACAAACATCCCTATTTTACCGTGAGTCTCAATTACGAGTCGTTATTAATTTGACATTTTCTATCTCTCTCTTTTTTTCTCCAAAAAAATGTTCATTGATGGAAAGATGGGAAAAGAAAGAATGAAAGAAAGAAAGAAGGAAAAAAAATGGAAGATGGCCTCCGGACGGGAAATCAAACGTCAAAAACAAAAAAAAAAAAGAGAAAAAAAAACCTTCGTAATAGTTGTAAAAATTAGTTTATTCTCTCTTTTCTCTCTCTCTCTCTCTCGCTATCATTCTGTCTCTCTCTCACTCAAATTGGTACATAGATGATTTTGTTTTTGAGAATAGGAATTACGCCTTAACGTAAGATTTTGTTCGGTGTCAATCCGTTGAATGTTTGTTTGAATGCTCTCTCTCTCTCTCATTGCCCGCCAAAATTTATGAATGAACTATTTTTCTTTTTTTTTTAACGGGCGATATCCTTGACGTAGGGGTTGCTGTTCTACTACCACGACCCTCGATGATGCCGCCGCCGCCGCCGTCGCCACTACCACCACCACGACTACTACCTTTTGTAGTTTTTTTCTTTTTTATTTTTCTTTCTTTTTCCCCCCTCTCCCTTTTAACGGAAATGTTCAGTTCGTTGTATTGTTTGTTTGTTTGTTTTTTTTTTTGTAATTTGCCAAATGCTTGTGTGTCTACACACACACACACCCGGTCACCCGGTCGATTTTGTTTTGATTTAATTCCCTAGTTTAGCATATTTTTTTGAATTTTTTATACGACGAAACATTCGAACGATTTTCGACCACGTGATCAGAAAAGGTGGTAGGTAGAGAAAGAGAAGAAGAAGGGTAGGAGGAAGAGGGAGGAAGAGGGAGAAAGAAGAAGCGTTTTCTCATGAGTATAATGTGACGGCACAGTTTTTTTGTGGTATCATTTGGAAATTTAATGCCCAAAAATTTTCTTTAAAAATAAAAAAAAAAAAAAAACTGGAAAAAAAATTTATTTCGTAAGCGTTTGACCTCATTCTACCACGTGATCTTTTTTTTTTCTTTTTCTTTTTGGAAATGTACGCAGGTTTTACGTTTCGATCGTAACCATTATTATTATTATCATCATCATCGTCATTTCATCGTTTTCAATATGAAATTTTCACTCAAAAGTTTCCATTTCCATTTTCGTCTCCTGGATGGTTAGAAATACGAAAGCATTTTATCGTCGTCTGTGTTGTTGCTCCCTCTCTCTCTCTTTTTCTCTCTCTGTTTGGAAAACCTATTGCGATCACGATTACTCCCGTTATTAACGCTCTTAAATTAATTAATATTTGTCACAAGTGTATTTTATAGTTATAGCAAGCTATAAATTTACTTTTATTCATCACGCAGTGTTTGAATGAATAATAATTATTCTCTCTCTCTCTTTCTCTCTCGATGGCCGCGTTTTCAAATCGTTAAATTTTTTTAATGTGTAAACTAATGTTTCTCTCTCTCTCTCTTCCCGTAAAAACATTTACAAATTTATCTGTCATGTTTTGTTTTTTTTTTAATTTTATTTTAAATTTTAAAAAAAAAATATATATTCAAATAAACATTTGGAATAAATGAAATTTTAAACAAAAAGAAAGAGAGAGAGAAAAAAAAGGCAAAGTGTATGAGAAAAGACAAAAAAAGAGAAAAAAAAAAAAAGGGAAATATTAAGGGACATGTTTATACCCGAAGGGCACAAGCACACGTAGTCAGGTATTGCGTCTTAAATTGAGGTTCAGGTACGTTTTACGAAAGGAGCCAGGTGTGTGTGTGTGTGTGTGTTGGAACAGGTGCTCGAGGGAGGGGTTTGGCCCCGGGCTAAACAACCGGACTCGGCTGCAGATGATAATGAGTGAACTCATAAGGAGCTCATCAGTGGTTTTCTATCTCTCTCTCCTTCTCTCTCTCTAATGAATGAACGAACTCCTATCGTTTATTAAAAAACAAAAAAAAAAAAAAAAAAAATTTTTTTTTCTATCAATTTTGCTGCCCCCCCCCTTTTGCTTGTATCTAATCTCCCATTCGAATTTTTCGGATTTGATTTTTACTACTACCACTACTACTAGTACCACGTCAAGTTAATCAGAGAGCCGAGGTTCGTTATGTCTGCTGCTGTTGGTATTTTCTGCTCCACCATCGCGTTTATTTTTCATAAACAAAACGTAATCGATGTGATAGTTTGCACGAGAATTCATTTCCCACGGTCTATATTATTTTATTTTATTATTATTATCATCATTATTATTATTATTATTATTATTATTATTATTATTGTTCTCCCCGCGAAAACGTGACTAATTTTTTTAATTTTGCGTTAGCGGTAGCAGTCGTATTATTAAACAACAACAACAACAACAACCGAAAAAAAAACAATAATTTAAACGCGTAAATTTATTTTGAATTTTGGCATTTTTATTATTATTATTATTATTATTTTATCCCTCCTTTCCCCTCCCCTGTCTCTGCCCCCCTTTTACGCACGCCAAGAAGCCGTTTCGCGAAATTAGATAACAAAAAAATAATAATTTTTTTCAAATCGTGCATAACGAATTCACGTATGGCTTCTGTATTGAAATTTTTTTTTCGGTCCTCCTTTCCTCTTTCCCTCCCCCCATATCACCCCTCTTCTCTTCTCCCTCCCATACCACCCCTCGCTCTTTTCCGTCTCGGAAAAAATAAAAAAATAAAATTGCGAAATCGAATGGAAAACCGATGAAGATCGCATCGATGATTTTCCAGCATTCAAAAAAAAGTCTTTGAATTATTATTATCATTATTATTATTTTCTCTTGGGGGTGGGGGAGGAAGGGAAGGGGATAATCTCGGTTAAAATGTGTCATTCATTTCCCGCGGAAAATGAATCGGAATATTAAACGGTAGTGGTAGTAATTTTCTTCGTTATTTTTCATCTCTTATGAAATCTTTTCGATTCAGAAAAATGTTTTCGAGAGCCGCCGCCATTTAAAAAAAAAAAAAAAAAAAAGTCGTTTACATCATAATGCAATAATATTCATCCCAAAAAAAGGATTGTGCGTGCGTGTGCGAGTGACTCCATCCATATAATTTTTATATTCACATTGTAATGAATACCATCAATTAAAGTTATAGAATGTAAAAAAGATAAGCGATCAAACTTGGTCGGGTCAAACATTACATTAATTTTTTATTATCATTATTATTATTATTATTATTATTATTTAATTGTGAAGAAGATGAAGAAGTTTTCCTTTTCCTTCCACCTCCTCCTCCTTCTTTCTCCCTCCTAAATGCTCCTGCCACGTTTTTTTTATCTCCCTCCACGGCGACGACGACGTCGTCGTTTTTCTTAATATTTTTACTCACTAATGATAATAAGATTTTACTTTTAACGATGATCATCTTTTTTTTTTCCTTAATTTTTTTTTTTCGAAGAGTTTTCCAAGAAGGTTGAACGCGCACGACCCAACCAACAAACAAACAAACGAACAAACGAGCGAACGGTTTAAAATGAAATTTTTTTTTTTTTTCTCATTCTAAGAATTCATTCGTTTAAAAAATGTTTTGGAAATTTTTACACAAAAATGAAAGACTCAACGGGATTTCTCGTCATTTCATATCCTCCTCCCCCTCCCCCTCCCTTTATTTTATTTTCGAAGAAAGGTCGATCGATTCGAGAAAGTTTGGTGAATGGGGGAGGGAAGGGATCATTCATCAACAAGGGTAAAAAAAAAAAAAAAGTACGTTGATGATGATGATGATAAAAACTTATGAATCTTCTTCGTTTTTATCATCATCAACAGGTGTAACAGGTATTTCTTCGGATGGTGTAACAGATGTCATGTGCTTTTGTGAGAACGACCTTCAAAACGTTCTCGTTAACATTATTATTATTATTATTATTTTTTTAGGTTAATGACTTCCGGTTTTTTTTTTTTTGAAGAACTTCCGATTTGATTTGATTTTTTTCCCCCCTCGAAAATGCGATAAGAGAATTTTTTTCGCTTAATGCTTTTACCCGTCGAAACGAAGGGATGGGGGTGGGTGTGGGGAGGTATCACAGGTATATCCGATCGATTTATCGTTCGATGTATCGTTCGATTTGATTTTTATATCGAACACGAAAGTTGGAGTTCGAAATGTGGAGAGAATGAAAGAAAATGAACCGAAAGCGTGCGATTTGCCTCGTAACCGTCCGACAAAAAATATTTGACCTGATGATGACCTTTGAAAATCAATTGATGAAGGAGGAAGGAGGGAGGGAAGGAGGGAGAGGAAAAAAATAAAATTTTTTTTGGCGGAGAAACGAAAAGAGATGAAGAATCCGAAACGAAAAAAAAAAAAAAAAAAAAAAAAAAAACAACGGGGCGGGTTTAATATAATGGGAGAGCGGAAGTGGTAATAATCGGAGGGAAAAAGAATAGAAGCAGCTTCTGTGTTACTTGATGAGAACAAAGGTCACCAAAAGGTACATCAGTCACATGTTACTTATCTGAGTCCCCCATCTGTGACTCGGTAATTCACTTTTCTACCTTATTTTTTTATTTTTTTTCGTGCCCAGGTAAAATCTTCTTTTCCCAAGGAATGATTCTTCTTCTTCTTTTTTTTCTCTCTTTATTTGGTAAATTTATGTTTTTAACAGGTGACACAAGGTTCGGAGTGACATTGAAAGGGATGATGAGTGCAGGAGGGGCGGGAAGGGAAGAAAAGGGGGTTAAATTAAACGTGGCAGTCTCGTAGAGTAAAACGGATGGAAAAATCAGCAATTGGTTTTATTATTATTATTTAAATATCGGATAAATAAGGGATGATATGAAGTATCGATGATAAGGGTGTTTTTTTTATTTTGTTCCCAGGTAAAATGTATGCAGTTTTAGGGAGGCGTCACGGGAGAGTTTTGCACGGTGACATGGCACAGGGTTCGGCATCGTTTTTCGTCACGGCCGTACTTCCGGTCATTGAAAGTTTTTCATTTGCACCGGAAATTAGAAAGCAAACGTCCGGATTGGCAGTTCCTCAATTGGTTTTCAGTCACTGGGAGGTAATGGTTCTTGCATCTTTTTTTGCAATTTTTTTTTTCAAATGGGTAGTAGGGGAACTGTTGTCGTTAGAAATGATAATAATAATGATAATAAACATTTTTTTATTTGTTTTTTTTGAAGGTCATCGACGTTGATCCTTTTTGGTCGCCCAGAACCGAAGAGGAATATTTACATTTCGGTGAAAAAGCCGATTCGGAAAATCGTGCGAAAAAATACGTGAACGCGGTGAGAAGGAGAAAAGGGCTCGCGGTCGAAGAGAAAATTGTAGAATTTGCGGAAAAGCAAAGAACATTATCGAAAAACAAATAGGAACCCAAATGGAAAAAATGTTTTTTCTTCCTATTTTATTTTATAGCCGTGACGTAATGAAGAATCAATAGTAAAGAGGTTGAGGTTTACGAATGAAACAAAAAATTAATAATAATAATAATTATTATTATTATTATTATTATCATCAATCATTATTATCAAACGTATCGATGTGTATAGGGTATGTTGTTACATTTTTTATATATATTTTTATACGTGATGTTGTTTTCTTAATAATTAAATGTTCAAATCGGCAATTTTGGGTTTATTTTTTTGTGATTATGCAACTTGTCGTACCTTGTTGTACCTCGTACCTAGTCGTACCTTGCGATGGAAGAGTTTGCGGGTTAGTTAATGTGTGTACAGGACCGGCTGATTCAATGGAAAAGTACATTTCGGAATTTTTTTAAAAGGGACAAAATATTTAAGGCGTAATTTTTAACTTTTTTTTTTTTTCGTTGAAATTTTTATTTATTTATTAATTAATTGATTTGAATTATTGTCGAAAGATTGTTTACAATGATTTTTTTATTATTATTATTATTATTTTTTCATTTTCGATAAGGATTTTAAATTTCTTTTAAATTGTTTCTGTAGATTTTGGCAGGAGGGATGAATGAAAATGTTTTGTAATATTTGAACTGTGCAAAATAGTCAAGAAAATTTTTTGTTGTTTTTTTTTTTTTGAAAGAATGATGGATGGGTTTAATAAGTGAGAGAGAAATATTACAACAACGTTTCAAATTTAAAGGCTGTGAATTTATTAAAAATAATCATTGATTGAATGTTAAGTCATGCATGGGAAAATGTGAATGAAGTCATGAATGTAATTCGTTGAAAGCTTTTCTCATCATATGAAAATGCAAAGGAAGGAAGTAGAAGATTATTGTTGCAAAGTAAGGAGGAAAGAAGAAAAAAAAAATTTTTTTTTACAAATGATATTTTTTATTATTTCACTTCATCAGAGAAAAAATTTAAAGGAAAACATACACAAAGGGGGATTTTAAAAAAATGAAAGTAAAGCAGTCGAGTTATTACAATTTTCACCGTGAGATGTCACTACGGCGCGGATCGTCGTAATCGTGACATGTGAAAAATAAAACTTGAAAAATTTTCCGTCGTGCGCTTTAGTCAGAAATATAAAGAAATGATGGCGACCGTTTTGAGAAAAGTTAAACTCTGTAATAATAAAAACAAATCGGATTCGGTGACTGATGATAATAATAAAAGTGAAATAGAAAAGGATAGAGGGGATAATGATGTTTTATATAATAATAGGAGAATAAGTCAAAGTTTCGAAGAAAGAGTCGTACCTTGCGGTGGAAGAGTTTGCGGGTTAGTTAATGTGTGTACAGGACCGGCTGATTCAATGGAAAATCGTCGCCGGAGAAATCGACCCCAGGGTAGAAGAAACCCTAATAATAATTTGACCTTATTTCAAAGCTTACAGCTGAGAATTGATTTATGGACGACAAATACGGGACATTTATTAGATAGATCTTATTTTGCTAGAAGGTTTTGTAATAAAAAATCAGACAACGAATTGTATCGGAGTAACAGTTTCCGTTTTGAAAAATTTGATAAACAGGATGAAGACTTACAACAACAACAACAGCAACAACAGGTAAAAAAAAAAATATTATTTATTTAAATGTTTTTTTTTCCCCATCTCTCTCTCACACAAGTTTACACCCTAATCTTCATTCTCTCTCTCTCTCTCTAAATTTGTTATTGTTGTTATCAAAATCAATTATTTACTTTTTAAAAATTCATCGTTTCTCTCTCTCTCTTTTTAATATTTTTTTGATAATTGATAACGTTTTGAATAAATAAATAAATAATTTTTATTCCATAGGATTCTCGTTCCACGACAAAAATTTTTTTAATCAATTCTTAATCGACACAAATCTTTTATTATTTGATGTTTTCTCTCTTTCTCCCTCTCTCCCTGACCCTCTCTCTTTCGATTTCTTTCTAGAACATTTTATTATTAATCATCATTAAAGGGTTGATATGAAAAATGTGAGTCATAGAAAATTTTATGTGTCATACATGCATGTTTTGTTTTTCTTTTTTTCCAGTCGTTGTTTGTTTTTTATGATCTGATAAGAATTTTTAATCGTTATCACTACTTGATGATAATTGTTGTTTGTTTTTGTTTAAATAATTTTTAAATTGTTTAATTTTTTTTGGCATGGCAGACGACGACGATGACGATGACGACAGTTGTGATTTTAATCTCGTGATCGATGTTGTGTTTTTATAAAATCAAAAAAATGTTGGTAAACCTGATATTGAACCTGAAACCTGGTAATGATTGGTCTAAAAGGAATTATTTTTGTATGTTTATGGGTTTGATACTATCGATCTGTCGCGTTTCAAACAGACAAACAATCGAACGTGTTTGAAAAAGTCTTAATGGCGTCCAAGATACAACAGTAAAAAGTTCTACGACAAATATTTTGTTGTATTAGATGTAGAAAATGATTGTAGTCACGCACGCACACACACACAAAAGGTGCAATTTCCCGTTCGTTTCATCCCCATTTCCGGTTGTTTTTCTTTTTCGAAACATTAGTATCATTTTTTTAACAAATGTACGATTCGTTTAACCACCATCATCATGTGATGTCGTGATGTATTTTTTTTATTTATTAATAATTGATTTATACATGTAGAAACGAACGTGTTTGTGACACGAACGTGTAATTTACGTACAACCGTTGGGTAAGATTCAAAAGAGAACAGAAAATGATAAAAAAAAAGGAAAAATTTGACTCGTTCGATTGTTTTTTAATAAACGTAGGCGGCGTTCGATTAAATTAATTTTTATAATTAATTTCATGGAAAATAAATAAATAAAAATGAATTCCAGATAATGATAATTTTTTTCTCCAGTTGAAAAAAATAAGAGAAATTTATTGGAAATGTTTTTGGGTGTGGATTTTTTTTTTTTTTATTTTCAAATAAATTTTTTTTTTTTAAAATTAATTAATTAACTCATGACCGCGCCGATTGATTCGCAAAATAGAAAAAAACATTTAAATTGATTAATTGCGTTGTCCAGTTTTTTTTGTATTTTCTCCAGGAAAAATAAAATGGAATGAAAGAAAGAAAGAAAATTCTTTGTTTTCTTTTTATCGCCCTGGTACAAAATTCAAGGGTTAAAATATTTCACATATCGGTAAAAGCTTTTCCAACTTATTAATACATAAATTTCACGTTAGATGGCAGTCTAATAGTCTCCCTGGAAAATTTTTTTTTTTTTTCAAAAAATCTTTTTCCATTCGTGTGAATTTTTTGAATGACGTCATCACGTCATATAATGCTCTGTCGTGATTTAATTAGAAAAAAATTGATTCCAGTCGTTCTAATCAAACCGTCGGGGTATAAATTCATTCATGAATGATTGAATGAATGAATGAATGCATCGGTCCGAACGAATGAATGATAATAATGATTGAATCCTAACCAGAATTAAAAAAAAAAAAATTTTCCAACATCGTTTCAATCATTCAAATCGCAAATTTTTCTCATTCCAGCATCTCTGGAAGGCTGAAGCCGTTTATTAATCTCTCTCTCTCTCTCTCTCTCTTATCACCTGTTATCAAGTACTCGTATTTATCTTCAATCGATTCCCCTCCATTTTCATTTTCTCCATAAAAAACTAATTACTATAATAATTTAACTTTTAAAATTTTATGATGACTTTTCCAATTCATATTTTTCCACGAGGTTAACTCTAAATAATAATAATAATAATTTTCACTCTTCCCTTCGATTATTTTCTATTTCATCGATCACTCACTCACTTACTCTTTCTCTTTCTCTCTCTTTCTTTTCTCAACGTGAAAATTATGATTTTTAAATTATTCTATGTTCACTCTTGAAAATTTTATTTATTTTAAAAATTTCAATAATTAAAATGTTTTCCGCTAGTTAAGTTTTTAAAGAAATATATAAAACAAATTGAGAAAAATTTTTATGTTGTGTAAATTATTAAAAAGAGAGAGAGAGAGAGGGGGAAAGAAAGAGAAAATGGGAAATGAAAGACGACGTGAGTGAGGAGGGGGAAAAAAAAGAAGTAAAAAAGAAAGTGAGTGAAAATGAAAAGAAAGAAAGAAAAAAGGGTAAAAGAAGAGGGGAAGGGAAAAGGGAGGGGGAAGGGATGATGATGATGAGAGGTAAATGGAAAAACCTCACTGGAAATACTGGAGAAAGAAAAGTAAGATGACGGGGAATGAATAGAATGGCGATGAAAGGGATAAAAATAAAAATTTTCATCACTCTAATAATAATAATAATGATAATATTTATTTCTCACTGGAAATCATGTACATACTAAAATTGCAATTATTATTATTATTATTATTATTAACAACGTAATTTCTTATTAAATTGGATTAGGATTAAGATTACGCGTACTAATCTCGAGATTAAAAATTTTTTCTCGTGTGTTTATTTGAACATTGGAAAATATTTTTCTTGTAAAGATAGGGTAGTGTTAAGAGGGGGAGGGTTGAAAATGTCATTTCCTTTCTTTCCTCCTTCTCTTCCACCCCCTCTCATATTCGGTCCCGATTTTCAAAGGGCTCCCTTTTGAATAATTCAGTGATTAGTGGGCTTTATAAGATTTATTCTAAGAAAAAATTTTTTTTTCTTTTTGTCTTTGGATGCTGTGGATTTCCGATCGTTTTCTCCTTTTTTCCTTTTTTTTTCGAATTTATGCTCGTGTTTGTTTTACATTTAAAAAAAATATGGAAAATGACAAAGAAAGACAAAGAGAGGCAGAGAAAGAGAGAGAGGAAATTTAAAAAAAAAAAAAAAATTGAAATAAATCCATAAGAAAGAAAAGAGAAGAAAAGAAAAGAAAAACCTGCTGATTTTTAGTTTTTCTTTCTTTCTTTCTTTTGTTTTACTTAAAAATTTTCCTTTTTGGAAAATTGTCAAAACCGGAAATGAATGTTTTCATCTTTTAAAAAAAAAATTTCACTTATACAAAAGGGATTAAATGTTTTTTGAATTTTATTATTGGAGTTTAAAAATTTTTTTTTGTTTTGTTTTTGTCATAATTTTTTTTTTCTGGAGAAATTTTTTTTTTTTTTTTTTTTAAATTTTTAACTGGAGCTTAAGATATATTTCAATACGTAAAATAATAATTGTTTAAATTCCAGGAAAGTTAAGCTTTGGAAAAACGTCAATCAATTTTTTTTTAAAGTTAAAAATAAGAAAGAAAAAATATTAAAAAAAAAAAAATTTTTTCCCATTTAAAAATCCATTTTCTGGAAAAGTGAAAAAAAAAAAAAAAAAAACGTAAGAAAACCCTAAGGGCATACAAATAACATTTCAATCATTAAATTAACTTACGAAAAAAAATTTTTTCTTTTTTTTTTTTTTAAATTGTTCAAAATAATTTTTATTTTATTTTGATTGAAAATTATTATTATTTTAAAAGGAGGGGTAGAGATGAGGGGGAGGGAGGAGGTGAAGGGGATGAAAGTGAAAAATAAAAAAAAAATTCCATCAAAACCTTTTCTCCCCATATTTTTAAATAACCAGAAGTTCGAATTCGACAAAAAAAAATTTTTTTTAATTATTTTTTCCGGAATTAAATTTTTAAAAAAAATTACGTACCTCCCTTCCCCCTCGCGGGAAAATTTTTTTTGTGGGAGGAGGGGCAACAGTATTACTACCACTTTGACAAATTTCGGTTCCTAATGGGAGGGGGGAAGTAGGGAATTTAATCAACATTTCGGACATATTTCCACAGGTGCGTAATCATCTTCCGTATATCTAAAACACGTAAATAATTATCATTATTATCGTTTCTCTTGCTTAATTACAAAATGGCCGACGAAATTCATTTTATGAAATGACGACTCACCTCGGAGGTTTGAGTATCATTCGTTCTTCATTTAGCAATGTCGTTGTCGCGTATGAATTTGTCGTGGGATGAACAAAAGGTGCATCCAAAAGTAAATCTTTAGATCCGGTCCTGATATTTCTCCAGTAAATATCGAAACAAATTTTATCTGTTTAAATATCTTCATTATCATTATTATCATTTGATTCGTTAATTGATTATTATTATTATTAATATTTACCGCATTTGGTTTTTTCGTACGGATGTTTACCACCAGGTATGAAAGGTTTATATTTTTTAACAAATTCTAATTTTTCTTCGCAACCGCAAACGGGACCCAAACGAAAACCTTCGATTGTTCTTTCATCGATTATTAAAATTGGCGGAAGTGAAATTTTAGGTTTTTCTTTTAATAATTCTTTTATTGGCATCATTTTGATGATATTTTTTCATATTTTGTTCAATTATAAAGGAAATAGGTTAGGTATGCGTTTGAAAATGTTTACGTTCTAATGCCACGTTTTAGAAATTTTTTTTTGTATTAGGAATTCTAGAATTTTTTATTTTTTCATACTTGTTAATTTTGTAATAGAAAATCAATCGGAAGTTGATTTTTTTGTTTGTAGAAAAATTCTAACGTCGAATGATTGCTTCGTCATTTCGTAAATTTCTAGAAAATTCTAAAGGAAAAGTTTCGTTTTAAAAACGAGAAAACGAATAAATAAGAAAGAAAAAAAAATCAAATTAAGTAAGTCACTTCGGGGCAAAAGAATGATGGAAGAAAATAAAAAAAAAAAAAAAAGATCAAATATACAACAACTGCGATGACGACGAAGACGACAATAACAACAACAACAGCAGAAGAAACGAAGCAAAAAAAAAAAATGATTCTGTCAAAAGAAAAATATATTTCACGAGAAATGAAATGAATAATTCACAAGTAAAAAAAAAAAAAATAAGAAAAATGTCGAAATAATGATAGCGGAGGCTGCGAAGATTTCAAAACTTTTCTCCCCTGTCATTTCCTAATGAATAATAATAATAATTTTCTTATCGGGCATTTAATTTTTTTTTTTTTCACTCACCAAATATTCTAGATTTTATTATTATTATCATTTCGCAAAATTTTCCGCTTTAAAATTTTTTTTTACTCAGCATTTTAAATAATTCACATAAGCTAAAAATAAAAATAGTATTTTTTTTCTCGAAAATGATTTTATTTTTCTTTAACTTCCGGTTTTATATTGTCTTCTGTCTTCTGCTGTTTTTTTATTATTTATTGTATTATTAATCAAACGTCAAATTTAAAATTTATTTATTTAAATTAAATTAAAATTTTAAATTTTTTTGTTTTTCATCATTAATCTTATTTTGTTGTTGTTGTTGTTGTAGTGGAGAGAAAAATATTTTTAAAAATTTCTATTTCCGGTTTTAATATTTGTGTTTTCGTGTGCGTGTACACCACGTGGTTAAACATATCGATTTAAAATGTACAACACGTGTTTGATCGTGAATTATTTTAAAATAAAAAAAAAGGAATTGGGAATAAGGAAAAAAAAAAGGAAAATTATTCTTATCACCCTTTGGGAAAACTTTAGGAAAGAGAGAGAAAGAGAGAGAGGGAATGATAAAAAATCCCTTTGACGTTTTTTCTTCTGCTACTGATATATATACATAGTTGAAATTTCAAATTGTTTTTTAAAGTTTTCACCAAAAGGAAAACAAAAAAAACGAAAAGGATCAAAAATTTTTCTTTGCATGCATTTTCTTTCATATGTTGTTGACAAATTTGTAAGAAAGGTTTTTTTCCCTTCCCTTTTCTCCAGAGATTTTTTTTATTTTTATATCGAACGATAGTATCGTGTATCGAAAAGTAAACATTTAAATATTATAATATTGTTTGATTGTAAAAAGTTTTTATTTTTTCTTTTCGGAAAATGTTTTTGTAGGATTTTATACGAAACACGTACGTCATTTTTTTATTATTATTTTTTTTTAAACAATTATTATTGTTTTTTTTTTTTTTTTGAAATTTAAAATCCCAGATCCGGGCATTTTAATATATAAAAAAAAATAATCGATCGATATATCGATTTAATTATCAACAATTTCGATTTTTTCAAACAAAGGAAACGTCCGAAAAAAAAAAAAAAATTTTTTTTTTCGCCCGTATAAATGTCGAATCGTATGTTGTCGAAACGTTGTGAATATTTTCAAAGTCTGCTGCATTAACCGATGACTCATACAGGGAAATCCCGATCGTAAGAAGTATATGTTTTACCATAAAAAAAACAATGGGAATCAGGTTCATCTTTAATCGGTGATTTTAAAATTTCATTTAAAAATAAAAGGAAAAAATGTTTTTTTGTACCGTTAGATAACTAGTTCCACTCGTTATTTTCATATGGTTTAAAAACGTTTTCTTATATTTTCCAATAAATATTCAAGGCAACATAACGGACTATATAGAAAGTCGAATGATGATGATGTGCGGTTCAACTTGTTCTTTCATTTACTCCACAATAATAATTATTATTTTAATTTATTTTAAATAATTTATTACTTAATTATTATTAGTATTATTTTTGGAAAAATTGTGATTTTCCCGGGTAAAGCGAATTGTTATTATACATCATTATTATTTTACATTTCAAAACAATGTCGTCGCCGCTGGAAAAAATATTTCATTTCAACATTATCAAAGATAACAATAACAACAATAACAAGTAAGATTTATTTTTTTTCTATTTTTTATTACTTAGTTTAAACTTATTGATTTTTATTTATTAAAATTTATTAATTTTTTATTACCCTGATAAAAAATTAATTTTTTTAAACAATAACTAACGTGCAGAAAAAAACAAGAAAAGAAATTTTAAAATGAGATCATTTTTGATGTTGAAAATGCGACATAAGTTAAAAACAATACAATGTGACGTCATCAAAATAATAATAATTATAATTAATTATTATTATTAATTTATTAACAGAGTAATAAAAAATTTTTTTTATTAATACTAAAGAATAAGAGTCAGTAAGTAAGTTTTTTTTTTTTGTTTGAATTTTATCAATTGATATATAACGCAATCGAATTTTTTTTTTTTTTTAATCGAATCAAGTTGAATCGAACGATTGGAATTTATTACGTAACATGTTTTTATTTCTTTCTCTCTCTCAGTCCTTTCAAATATATTATAAATTAAATGGGAGAGAGAGAGAGAGAGAGAAAAAAAAAACAATTTTATTACCACGCACGATAAATTATTACGAAATATTTTTTTTTTTTTACTAAAAAAAAAAAACTCAAACGATCGAAAAAAAAAAATTTATTTCATGCGTAATTAATTATCATTATTATCATTATCATTATTATTATTATTATTAATATTATTATTACTAATTTATTACTAATTGATCGTTATTTCAAATAAATTTAAACTCAGACAAAATAAAATTTGTCTGGGAATGACACGTATTATTAATTTTACGACCGAAAAAAAAAAATCAGTTTTGAGTTCGTGGGTGTGTGGGGGAACGGGGGGACGCGCGGGGGAGGAATTTCACGTCGTTTTTTTTTTCTTTTGGATATTATCGTTATTATCATTATTATTATTATTATTATTATTATCATGATTTTTTTTTCTTGTACGTAATTGAATTTATTTTTTAAAAAACAGAAAAAAGAGAGAGAGAAGCCAAAAAATTTTTTTTTCCTTTTTCTTTTTTTACAAAATAGTTTTTTTATTATCATTATTATTTAATTAAAAGCTTTCGGTTTCCTTTTTTTTCCTTTTTTCCTTTTTCCCTTCATTGATTTCTTTTTTTTTATTATAATTCCTTTGTGAAACCTTTTTCAATAATTGTATTTTATTTATTTATGTTATTACCTTTGAAGCGAAATTTTCGTTACGGTATGATGACGTCATCATCATACGTACATCGTTAAAATTTTTTTTTTATGGAATCGTCAAAAGAAAAAATCAAAGGAAAGCAAACGAACAAACGAGTAAACAAACAAACAAACAACACACGAGACAGTAAATTATTCATTCGAGATGATAAATTTAAACGTAAAAAAAAATTTTTTTTTCTTTGGTTTTTATTACTTTTCTCTTCCCTCCCCTCTCCTTCCTCTTTTTCCCACGAATATTTACGAACTGGAGAAATCATTATCAATCTTATAATTTCGCGTAATATTTGTCTCAAAATTTTTTTCGGAGAAAAAAATGGCGGGGAAAAATGAGGTGCGAATTTTTCTTTTTTTTGTTTGTTTTGCAAAATCATTGCGAAAATATTAAATTCCCATAAATGTTATATGATAAATATAAATCGAACGGTATTTATTTATAACGCACATGAATACATATAATGATAAAAATAAAAAGTCGTATCGATCTTGGCAAAAACCATTGAGCAAACGCATGACGACAACTCCTTACACAGCTTCCATTGCGCGGGAAATGAAACGATAGGAGAAGAAATTTTTTCTCTCTCTATGGTTTTGTTTGTTTCATTCTTATCCATAGAGAGTCGCAGTTATCGTAAAAAAAGGTTTTGAAAATCCCGTTCGTTCGTTCGTTCGTTTGTTCGTTCGTTCGTTTGTTTGTTCACTCGTTCGTTTTCAGTTCGTTCGGTTCCTTTTTTTTTTTCTCCTTATTTTCAACACAATTTTTTATTAATTATTATTATTATTAATTCGCATTTGTCGTTTATTATTTATTAATTTATTTTAATATTCTCTCACGTATTTTCGCGCGTTTTTGTTTTTGAAAACGTTACAAATATTTTCGTTTCGTGCAATATTATTATTATTATCATCATCACATTTGAATCTTTAATCGTTTGACGAATGGGTAAGTGACGTTATCATTTTTTCTCTCTTTTTTTTTTTGAACGTTTGTCGTCGACGTCATCTTGGAAAAAATTATTTATCGATTTCGATTAATATTTTTTTCTCCAGCGACGACGGCAACATTAACGTGACATCATTTTATTTTTTAAAACTGAAGAAATAAATCCAAACCTTCTGGAATTTACACTCACACCCGTGACGATAATAATAATAATAATAATATTTTTTTTATTTTTACTGCAAACATTGCGTAAAGTTTAAATCATCGATTTTTGTTTAAACAAAAAAAAGAAAAATTTTTTTTTATTCTCTCTTTTTCTCTCTCTCTCTCTTTTTATTTTTAAACAAAATTTTCACAAAAAAAAGAGGAAAAAAGGAAAAAAAACGACGTCATTTCGGTTCTCTCTCTCTATTTCTCTCTTTCTCTCTTTTTTTATCCGGTAAAATCGTTTGACCCAGATAGAAAAAAAAAAATTCACGTTTGTAACCTTTTTTTTTTTTTTAAGCTGCCCCCCCTCCCACGAAATTCATATTTTTTTTTATTTTTATAATCATTATTATTTTCATTCATAATTGATTATT